CCCAGTAGCCCCTGATGAAGTTGGAACATCTGGTGTAGCTGACGGGTAAATGTTCTTGTATGCAGTCTGTGCTGAAGCGACATTTGCACCAGACGGTACTGACGACACAGTCGAACTAGTAGTAGGCATACGTGTAGGTCCAACTGCAGGTCTACCCGGTGCGGCTTTACTTATAGCGCCAGAGGTTGGAACAAAGTTCCCCATATTTTTTGATTGGTTAGTAGCTATACGACTAAGACCGCTCATGTCCCCAATCTTACCACCTATACTAGCAAGATTATCAGTCGCCTTACCTAGCGACCTACTAGCTTTGGCGATACCTTTCCCAATCATGCTAAACCCCATGATTACCTGCTATCTGTTAATTAAGTACAACACTGTATACAAATACGATGATATTTTTTTAATTATTTTTTATTATGGTATTTAGAGGTGGTTTGTTTAATATTGTTACAATGTTTGTTACTAAACAAGCGCATTACTAATGTCTGTTCTAGTAACCATGTCCAGGAAGAATGATACCTTACCACGTACGCGTAACACTCGCCCCATACCGTTCTTGAGCGTGACACGCATATTGTATATAGACGTACCATTCATGAGTGATGAGTTCACCTGGTACGTGAGGTTCCAATCAGGGTCCAGAACCCCAATCAAAGCCATGGAATCTCTGGCCCTACTTTTTGCATTCTGACTGTCTATAGCGACCATAACATTATTAGACGGTGACGACGGGATTTCTAGGAACACGTAGATGTATGGGTCACGCAGCTCATTAATGCGCCAAGGTGACGGACGTATAAACCCCCGCTGTAGCTTAATAATCTCGCCATTATCCTTCCGCTTGAGCTGCCGTGTATCAGTGAGGTACGTCTTTACAAACCTATTGTACCCGTTGGAGTTTCCTAATGCATTCATGCGTGCTATAGCTGCGTTGCAGTCAACATCAGGTCCAAACATACTGGAATAGTACTTCTGCACCATCTGTTCCCGTGAATTATGCATGAGATGGATAGGCGTGAACCCTGTAACCAACACGGTTCCGTTGTATTGATGTTTGATATCTGCACTGTTGGTTTCATCCAACGTTTCTGATTCAAGACCGCTACCCGAATTTAGGTATAGTCCATAGCACCCTTGTTCCATAGTTTTGATATAGAGTTTACCTATCGTATCGACATCGTCATAGGCTGAACTATACTCGAGTCGAGTAGGCCATTTTGGCTGGAATGTATCTCTTAACATGGTTGCAGGTACAGGGTCGATACTGTGTGTAAAGTATGGGTTGGTAAACGAAAGAGAATTCTCACCCAGAAACAATGAGGGTGGGTCGGTGTCGTTTTTGGCCGTTACACTAATCGTATCAGTGTCTGATACATGCTTTACCCTAAACGGATAACTCCCCAGGTCCCGTGTAAGACTGGTACTGGCCCAATTGTATTCGAGTGCGGCAGCCAGATCATTATCAGGGTTGAGAACAGCACCGTTATTTTCAACATAGAATACACCTCGTGGCAGTATTGCCTCTTTAACCGCAGGCGCACACTGTCCAGTAAGTGAATCGGTAATACCGGACAGTCCTAACATACGAGACCCCCATACCGTGGGCGACTGGATGGCAACAGAAAAGAACGTGTTAATTGTGGTGTACATAAACATGTTACGCTCA